GAACTCTTCTGGAAAGCATGCTTCTTGTAAATAAACCCCTGTCTGCGCTTCATGATCACCCCACCTATCCCACAGCCTTTTAAGGCTGCACATGTTATGATTGCATCTGGCTGGGCCTAGCAGTTTCTCCAGTTGGCTCTGCAAAAGGGTAAAAGAGTTACATAAAACAAGCAAAATGAACAAACCCAAACACATCAACTCTGCTCTCAGTCTTAGTACTGAATCTCACTGCAGTCATTATTCCTGGTAAAACTACACAGCAGCTTTAGTCTTGTAGTGATGATAAACTTTTTACTACAGGCTGAAACAGTTCAGTATTCTCTTTGTCTACCAAGTGGTCCAAACCCTGTAAAATTCTAGATAATCATGACCAAGTTTTCATTGTTGTTGTTGCTGGAAAAGCAGTCTCTGCTTCAAGTGTTGTCTCTATCCTGTAATACTACCAACCAAACCTTTACACAGAGATATTAATTCACAGGCAGGCAACTCTCAGAAGAAAGCATATGATCAAGGTGACACCATCTCTACATCTGATGTCACTGAAATCAAATGCTTTATTACCCAATCTCTAGAAAAAAGCTTGGGTACTATGAATCAAAAAGAAAAGACTTCAAAACATGCAACCCCCTCAGATGAGATAAAATGGCTATATAGGGAGAAACAAATATGACCACAGACCTTGACTGAAATAGATGAGCAGCACTAGAGACTGTTTGTGTGATGTCAGCAGCCTAGAGTATCTTTAAAAGCAAGTGATGCATGGCAAAAAAAAATGCCAGAAACATACCCATAAAAATGCAAATTTTTGGCTACAGGACTCAGCAATGAATAAAGCACAATTATGCAATTTCTGTTGAAAAGTCAGTGATTTTTTTCTGTACAAGCATTAGTTCTTCACTTACACAAATATTATGCAAATGCTGTTACTTCTCAGCCCCACCCTTCCTATAAGATATGTCTGGATCCATTAAGAATATTATGACTTACATGAAACTGCTTAAAACAACCAAGAAAAAGATCTCTGGAAAATATAAATGCTGTGTCTAGTTTAATCATGTGCCAGCACCGCTGATGGTGTCTGCAGCTATTAAAGCATCCACTCTGTACACAGACAACAGTGACTGGTAGCAATAGGCAGCCCAGCTGGCTGGCCTACAGTGGGGTAAGAAATCAGATGGTGCTTCTTTAATAAATGCAAGAATTCTTCAAGGGGCTTTCAACATGATCACCATCACACTTTTGTGATAAATCAAGGAAGATGTGTTTTGATCATGCATAAATCTGCAGGCACAATGTCCTTTGGTATCTCTGTAAAATTCTCATCCTATACACTGATACATCTATCCTAAATATTAGGAAAGCCCACATAACCAGGACACAACCAAGGCAGTAATTGGAAAAGGGAAACAATGTTTCCTCAGAGTCACTACCTTGATCACAGCAGCTCTTAAGCCCTTTGCCCTAATCTTCTGAACACCATCAAATGAGTGAAGTTGCCATGAGAAAATTCTACATTTCAGCTGCAGGCCCAGATATTAAGGAGACACTTCTAAAGCCTCCAAATCCATTTGTTTTCTTAGTCTTCTCTGATTCCATTCCCTTCTGCAAACTCTGCTTCTTTTCCTCTTAGTACCACATTCCATTTTCCCGCCATTCTTTATACAAAAAAAACCCAAATCCTTTTACAAAAGAAAGGGAAAATAAGCTAATCAGATTTAAACTTTGCATCCTTGTACTCCAGCAAAACTGAGAGACAGTTGTCACAGAAGGCACTCATCTGCTCTTAATAGTTTTATCACCATTGAAGGAGAGATGATCTTTAGCAGCAGCACCATCATCCCCAGAGAGCTGGAATAAGAATGGTCCAGCAGTGAAGCACGTTCTAAGAGACACAAGGGATCAGCTATATATTGACATGAGAAAGCGTGGGGTGCTCCTGAACTTCTCAACTAATAGCCATGTTCTACTCAATATATCAGTAAAACCTTCAAAAGTTGCTTAAATTATAACAATACAGCTTTTGGAGATGACACCTGAGTTTCTTTCAGTACTGGTTTTATTACCAATGCATACTTAAGAAAGTTTCTTAACTAGTAATCATCAAAAAGTGCGGATAGGCACTTTTTGATGATTACTAGTTAAGAAACATCCAGTGAGGATAGCCAATTTTAAAAGAAAAGTATAAAAGAGTCATAAAACCATATCACTTCTCTACACCTCTATGCCCAATACAAAACCATGCATAATGCGTTTTAAATTCACGAAGTACTTCCATTTAATTCTCTGTTCTCAACCAGAAACCATGTTTTCTCATTAACTACCACAGCTCTAGCACCTTGAGCTGTAATTTGATAGCCTGCCCTTTACAAGATGAAGATCCCAGCTATATGTATCCTACAAACCTTCTGAGATCCACTTAGTCACACAGATAAGAGGAAATGCACTTTAATAGACTTTAATAGTCAAATTCAGTAGCAGCAATAAGAAAAGTAGCTACTGTCCTGAAAGGGAATCACAAATAGGAAATGAGTCATGCTCAAAACATAGACACTTATCAACTGTAAAACAATTAAATGTCAGTTTATTTGCAAATTGCAACTCTTTTAGTGCTCAGTTTTGCTGAGGTTTCTTGAGATCAAATCTATCAAAAAATGCAGACAGCTTGTAGAGATCTGGGTTTTTTAATGGCTTTTCTCAGCATACCAGAATTACATGTTGATAAAACAGTATCATCCAGCAAGGCCTGAAACAGGCTTTCATTTAACTAACTTAACCCACAGAGTTCTGCTGTGTTCCATTTGGACTGGAGACCTTGTGTACCTAGCAGAGTTAGTCAAGTTAGCACAAGGTGACACACAAGTCCAAACAGCTTCTCTATCTTTCATTTTAGGCAGTCCAGAATTGACACTGTTAAGCTACATAGATACCTTTGTGACCAGTGACACAAATAAACAATAATAAAGGGAATGTATTAAGGATGCAACTACAAACAACTCAATTTGCCATGCAGGAGAATTCGTCAGACATACAGTAAATAAAAGGAAAACAGGAAGCCTAAATGAAATATTTGTATATTTTAAGCCCACATATTTTTAATCACCCATTGGGATAAAGGCTGTCACCCCACGACACATTCCATCACAAATATATGCAATTAAGGAGAGCTCTGGTTGGAGTTTGTGGAGGGTTTTTTTGGTTTGGTTTTTCATAGAGTATGTTTTACTAGCTATTACTTAAGGATAGCAGTGATCATGACCCCATTTCCACTCCTTCAGAGTGTGCAGGGCTCTCTTTGAATGCTTCTAACGTCATGTAGTCTTGTGGATTACACCATCATTTTAGAAAAGCACAGGGATTATCTTCCTCCACTACTTTTCATTCTCCCTTACAAGATTTCTTGTTATTCTTCTAACAGTGAAAAATGGCTGCTTATATCACATAGAAAACCGGTAGCCTTGCTTGTTAACCAGCTATTTTGCTTTAAGTTGTTAGTATTTTTAGACATGTTTAAATGTTTCTCTTGCCTATAAAAATCCAACTTCCCAGGAATTTTCCAGAAGAACAGTTTTTACCTTTGCATTCCCAAAATTAGCTAGAAATGTCACAATAATTTAAAGAGTTTCTTGGGCATATGTAGCTCTTTAATGAATTCTGTGTAGTATCCAAAAACTATAAGAGCTAGTGTGAAAGAAATCATTATTGGGTTAAGATAGGCATGTGGCTCCTTTTGATCCAAACTCAACAAACTGAAATCTAACCAGATGTGTTCCTTGGAGAAAGACCAGGATTAGTAAATTCAGTGATACATTTTGTAAGTAAAGGTAATCTTATAGGCCTACATTTTCTTTAACAAGTTTTTCTACAGCAGACAGCAATGGTTGTTCCAGAAACATAAAAAAAACGTGGAAGATATGTAGTTTCTTCACAGCGATCCACACGATTTAACAGGACAGCATTTCCTCTTTGGTGCCCTTATTTATTTTATTTTCCCTCAACAGCCATGCACAAAATGTTGATAAAGTCAAACGATTAATTTTATCTCCCATTCTCAGAGCTTTTAGGTACAAAAAAGCTTCCTGGAAAAGTTTATACATTTAGAAAAAGATGGATGTGCTGTATTCTCAAAACAAGAGAGTATCAAGTGTTATCCATCAAATTTAGGTCACACTTATCTATGCAGTAAGGACTGGTGATAAAGATCAGTGTTTGTAAGACATATGTGGTTTAAAAGATAAATGTCCTTCCTATGTAATTTTAAAATCCATTCTATACATTTTTAATGTAGAAGAAAATTGTGCTTACTCTGAAAACAATGGCACCTGGGTGACATTTCTTCAACACCTGCCAAATGAGGATAACTGTAGTTATCTTTATCTAGCAAGCTCTAGATAAAGACTTTGTCACAGGAAAGTCATACACCCTTTCTATGTCTCAGTCTGGAAAGCACTCTTTGTATCCCTAGGACCATGATGCATGTGGAATTAAGTTATCCCACTGCTGCTTTCAAGACCAAATTAAATTCACAGGATTCTTCAAATCCAATAACCCAGTTATTTCATTGCAGGCCTATCATTATCCTGCCCTCCATGCAGATTGTATTACCAGTCTTTTGTGCAGTCAGACCTTAAACAAACTCAACACTAAACCTGCTGTTCCTAATAAAACAAGATGTTGTCTCCTTGGGAATAATGTCTGTAGCAACAAACCAAAGCAAAAGGAGAAAGAAAAGAAAGAAAAGAGAAAAAGAGAAAAAGAGAAAAAGAGAAAAAGGGAGAAAGACCTGCCTGACCAAACATTAAAAAAAAAAATTATTTTCCTGGCAGCAGTTCTTGAAGGTGCTCAGACTGACAAATCACACCAAGCAAGAATATCTGAACTTCTACCTATCAGGAAATCAAACATCTGAAACCAAAGCAGCACCACTTCAATTGGTTGAATAATTTTTTAGAAAGAGTGGAATGTAGTAAGGCCAAAGTAAGGAAGGACATGAATGAACTGACCTTGACGTATGCTAGGTAATGCTCACATTTTTCCTGCATGAATGACAGTTGTAACTTCTCTGTAATCTGCCCTGCTGTCTCTCCAGAAGTCACAAAATAAACTCTGGGCTGCTGGCTCTTTTCCTTCTTTCCCACATCAGCGGTCAAGTTGTAATTCAAACCTGTTTTAAAAAGGAAGAAGAAGAAGAAAACAAAGGATGTCAGTGAACAATAGTAATTTTCCAGCCACCTATCAATGGATCGTGTTGCCTCCAGGACATCTGTGCTTGAAGAAAGGTCAACCCTTGAGGGCCCTCAATCAATCACTAAGTTCCCTGAGGCTACAGAAAACCAGATCCAATTACAAACATACTCCCATGTTTAATATAGCTATTATTCCCAGCCCATCCTTTCACATAGGAAATGATGTGTAATAATGCATCTAGAAACGTACATTTAACAAAAAAAAAAAAAACCAAACCCAAAAAGCAAAGAAACAAACAAAAAAATCTCTACAAAAAAAAAAAAAAAAAAACAAAAAACAAACAAAAACAAAAACAAAAAAAAAACCAGAAGATGTTTAAACTGTGTTTCTGACAGAAAATGCAAAAAAAAAACCCAACACAAGCAACAGCAGCAACCTCAAACCTTCTAAAACAGCACAAACCATGCAAATGTCAACCAGGATGTGGCACTTCCTGACAATTATTTTCTTTATTTGCAGTCATCTTAGCAATGAATCTGTTATGAATATGATGGTAATTTCTGCTGATAGAATATGATTGTTCAAATAATATAATATAAACCTTTAAAATCACACCAGCAAGGGAAAAGGGGCTTGCTTCACAGGGTGGCGAAACCACAGCTGGCAGCCGAGGAGGAGGTGCATCATTAACATACAAAGTGAACCTAGCCTGCACAGGAGATGGGCATTCTAGCTGGCATGAATGAGAGAACGCCCAGCAATGATGGCCCATGAAGATGCTCATCTCAGACAGACGGGACCATCAAGGACATACATCTGAACAGGGCATTCCGGGAACTGAGGAGCAGATACACATCAGTTCCCAGACAAGGCCTGGTCCAGCAGAGGACAGAGAATAGAGACAACATGAATATGAAGAACTCCAAGGAAGGACAAAGGGACTCTGCCGCAGGCAAGAAAAAGAGTATAAAACACGGACTCTGCCAAGCTGCATTGGCGAACAGAAGGGGATTCGGTGCGATAGAGGCCGGATCTGAGTTCACCCAGCTCTTCACCACCGGGGTCGGTGCTGTCCTTGATTGTTGGCTGCTGGGACTGTATATCAGTCGCAAATAAATTTTATTTTTATTTTTATTAAAATTGACTGGATCAATTTTTACCTATAACAAATCTTAGCATTCATACCATATACTTAGCCCCCCACAACTTTTCTGCTTCCAAAAAGCAACCTGGAGCAGTGGGTGGTTAGGGAGATAACTGGCTAAACTTATCACTGCTGGTGGTGTAAGTTCTTCCTGCTCACTCCAGTAGGAGATCATATGACAAGTTTTCACTAGCAAATTAAATTTTCCAAATAATGCCTTCAAACATTTATCTAGCAACTTTGAGTTTTCTCTCTTTCTACTGAGGATCTACCCACCCAACTTCACACAACGAAAATAAAACTTTGGCATGAATTTGATGAGCTCAGAAGAAGGGCTCAATTCTTCTAATGACTATTCATTTTCCATAACTTAAGTTAAATGCCTAAAAGCTTTGATAATGGCTCCCTCTGAGAAATTTTTTGCTCAGATCTTCAAGATGGCTGCCACCCAGCAGACCAGGTGAATTATTCCAGCCAGTAAGAGATGCACCAAGTAAATGGCAGCAGGCATTTTATAACAGATTTCCATCCTAAACAGCATATATATAGTTATGATGCAAGAGTCATCCCATAGGGCTGAAAGCACCCCTGAAGCAGTGAGGAGTGAGAAGAGATCAGGCCATGGCCACAAGCTAAAAAACCGTGAATCACAGTTGGCTGTGCTAAGGGACAGGTTGCACGCTCTGAACTACTTAGAATATCCCTTCCTCACCCACTAAGGTAATGACAAAGCACACAAACAGCAGGAGGCAAATGCTCATCAGGAATAAGCACATCTGTAAATGCTTGCTGAACTACTAGCTATAGTACTGATTTGCCAGGGGGTAAGTGGGAGGCACCACATGGAAACAATGAAGAACTAACTAAATAATTACACAAAACCATTGGAAAATGAATGTTTCTTCGATGTCTCTGCCAGTAATTATGAGGAGAAAATTATTAATGAACTTTGCTTGCAAAGAAAATTCTTATGCAATGGAAGCATTAAAAAAGCCCTAGCAAATGAGAACATATAGGACATTCCCTCTATTCCCTTCCAAAAAGCTTTCTTTTTCCCAATACTTCCCACCTTGTTTCGAATCCTCTCACATAGTTTTTCCTTGGGTCTAAGTAGGGAGCGATCCACACTGCTTCATACATTGAACCACACATCCCTGCAGCACATCTGCTTCTGAGGCATTCTGAGGGTAACACTGACTCATGCCTGCCTCCAAACAGACTGGAAAAATGAGAGACAGAAATAATACCCCTGCACCAAACTATAGCTGCACACAAGTTAGAAGATGAGAATCTACTTTTTAAAAGTTTTTAATAAAGATTCTTTTTTCAGTCCTAGGAACATGTTTAAACAGTAAAATATATCCAACAACCTATTATCCTACACTAACTCTTGCCGGTCTTTCAGGCAATAGTATTAGGGACATGACATATTAGGGACAGGACTACCCTAGATACAGATCAACACACAAGCAATGTACATCTGAAATGAATAGTACAGGAGAAAATTTGGAGCAACTTCTAACATATCTATCTGCCTAACTCTAGTCAAATGACCAAATCCCTTAATTTTCACAGCCACTGAAATTCACCTAATTCTCAGACTGGCACTGTTACTACTGTTGTTATTATTGTAGAGGAAATTATCTAGACTGTTGTCAGAGACTGAAATAGTTCATATCTCAAACACTGATGTTATGAATAAAAAGTTATCTATTTTTGTTTAAGGTTACAGAGCTAAAACCTGTTAGACCAATTGCTGTTAAATTAGCTTTATTGTTAAGAGTTCTTCTTTAATTGCCCGTCAATGGTTGGTGATTTAGCCATTGTCCTCCTGATGCTTGCCCTGGAGCAACACCAGGACATGGCAGCACCAGGAAAATAGGAGTGGCCTGAGACCACGTATGCAGATGAGAAATGCATTGCTCCAGTCTCGGCAAGGGAGGCCGAGATCTCAACTAAGTCCTGATAAAGGAGGTCAGGCAGACAGCCTCAGAGGCCAGGGTCTCGAGGATTTTTGTTTTGCTGGTTGAGTCTCGGCAAGGGAGGCCGAGATCTCAACTAAGTCCTGATAAAGGAGGTCAGGCAGACAGCCTCAGAGGCCAGGGTCTCGAGGATTTTTGTTTTGCTGGTTGAGTCTCGGCAAGGGAGGCCGAGATCTCAACTAAGTCCTGATAAAGGAGGTCAGGCAGACAGCCTCAGAGGCCAGGGTCTCGAGGATTTTTGTTTTGCTGGTTGAGTCTCGGCAAGGGAGGCCGAGATCTCAACTAAGTCCTGATAAAGGAGGTCAGGCAGACAGCCTCAGAGGCCAGGGTCTCGAGGATTTTTGTTTTGCTGGTTGAGTCTCGGCAAGGGAGGCCGAGATCTCAACTAAGTCCTGATAAAGGAGGTCAGGCAGACAGCCTCAGAGGCCAGGGTCTCGAGGATTTTTGTTTTGCTGGTTGAGTCTCGGCAAGGGAGGCCGAGATCTCAACTAAGTCCTGATAAAGGAGGTCAGGCAGACAGCCTCAGAGGCCAGGGTCTCGAGGATTTTTGTTTTGCTGGTTGAGTCTCGGCAAGGGAGGCCGAGATCTCAACTAAGTCCTGATAAAGGAGGTCAGGCAGACAGCCTCAGAGGCCAGGGTCTCGAGGATTTTTGTTTTGCTGGTTGAGTCTCGGCAAGGGAGGCCGAGATCTCAACTAAGTCCTGATAAAGGAGGTCAGGCAGACAGCCTCAGAGGCCAGGGTCTCGAGGATTTTTGTTTTGCTGGTTGAGTCTCGGCAAGGGAGGCCGAGATCTCAACTAAGTCCTGATAAAGGAGGTCAGGCAGACAGCCTCAGAGGCCAGGGTCTCGAGGATTTTTGTTTTGCTGGTTGAGTCTCGGCAAGGGAGGCCGAGATCTCAACTAAGTCCTGATAAAGGAGGTCAGGCAGACAGCCTCAGAGGCCAGGGTCTCGAGGATTTTTGTTTTGCTGGTTGAGTCTCGGCAAGGGAGGCCGAGATCTCAACTAAGTCCTGATAAAGGAGGTCAGGCAGACAGCCTCAGAGGCCAGGGTCTCGAGGATTTTTGTTTTGCTGGTTGAGTCTCGGCAAGGGAGGCCGAGATCTCAACTAAGTCCTGATAAAGGAGGTCAGGCAGACAGCCTCAGAGGCCAGGGTCTCGAGGATTTTTGTTTTGCTGGTTGAGTCTCGGCAAGGGAGGCTGAGATCTCAACTAAGTCCTGACGAAAAGGGTCAGAGAAATTAGAGTTTCGGCAGAGGAGGCCGGAACTTCTTAAAT